ATATGAAAATTTTTCCTGACATTGATCTCCACCAATTAAGTTCAGTGAAGTGAGCTGCGTACCATTTTGTAGAAAATAATTTTTCCACCTTCCTTTCTGAATCATGTTTGCTAAAGCGGACACGCCTGACGCTCAAAGGAAAATATTTAATATTTTTTTGTTGTGATGGGCATTTTATTATTTGTTGGATTTTGAAAAAAATAAAATTTCAGGAGTGGTTAACAGCGTTACCTAAATCTAAAATGTTTCACATTAAAAAATCTTGTATGCCAGAATATGCATAGCAAAAAAATAAAAAATAAAATCTGATCTGAATTTTTTTCCATCATATTTGGGTCAAAACCCACTCCCCCACAGTAGTGAGGAAAAACTCATCACTGCACCGAACTGCACATTAACTGGTTACATTGAGACTTGCCAGTGAAGAAGCTCCTTAATAAATCATACAAGTTCTGAGCCAGTAGTTTCCTAACAATTTCTCTCAGTAGTTCTGATTTAACTGAACAATAAGCAACTCATGTTTTCCCCCTTTCTTGATGTTTCTTTTCTCCCAGATGATCAGCAGAATTGAGTATGTACACACAAAGAACTTCATCCATAGAGACATCAAACCAGACAACTTTCTCATGGGTATTGGCCGTCACTGTAACAAGGTAAGGTAGCTTCTATACATATTTTTAAATATGGCACATAGAGTTCGTGACAAAAAGGTGAATACAAATATTTGTCTAATTGTTCATTTAGTTTATCTTCATGTGTAGTTTTTGTAAGACTATGTGGTGTCATAACTTTAATGTGAGCTGACGGCATTAGAGAGACTGCAAGCTGTCAACTTAATCTCATACTGGGGTCAGGCCTACAGACCGGCCCATTAAGTGATTAGAAAGACACCCTGACAATTATAAAAGACTAAAGACAGAAAATAGGACTAACACAGCAAAATGCTGGTCTGCAATACAAAGTTCAGAACAGTCTTTTAGCAAACTTTTCACTGAATAAAAATAAAGCAACTATATGAAAAAACAAACTGACTCTGTATGATGTCATCAGACTTTAACTGTTATCCATCAGCTGGAAAACAGAAATCAAAGACATCTTTTAAATCAAGGTTTATTAGGAAGATAATAAACGATCAACAGTGTTAAAGAAATTAGCCATTCATGGTATTTATGGGTTGTGGGAGAAATGATCAACTGTAAGTTTAGTTAAACTATAATGATTAATTATTATTGTAATCTGACTTTATTGCTGAAGCATAGATTTTATTTTTTGTTTTAGATTTTATCAAAAACAGAATTTAGCATTTTTATTTCTTGTCGCTCAGGTTTGATTTGCTGCAATGAACTCATTGATAGCTCCTGACAAAAGCTATCAATGAACAAAAGGGATTCGTTTGTCTTCGTGAAAACACAAAGAACTGGTAAAGAATAAGGACTAGCAGCAGTTAAGGACGGGAACCCACTTGGTCAAACGGATCTCTTCAAAGCGTTTTAAGTCAAGCACAAAGTTAAGCTTTGAACCCTAAGCAAGTGCTGCATTGAGCACTTTCCAAGCACCGCAGTCAGTTGTCCGTCCTACAATGTACCATTGCCAACATTCACAGCAGATCCATGTCCAGATTGCAAAAAAAGAAAAATCACATTTGGAAAGCTGAGTAAATGCTATGATCAACCCTCACTGCAGCCACTCACTATTGTCTCTTGACTCACCATAAGGCAGATCAGTGTGTCCGAATGGGATGGTTTTATACTCAAATCCCATTCCGAGTGATGAAAAGCCGTACCATTTTAAACAAATTGGAAAATTCAACTGCACTGTTTGGCGGAAGGAGGAGTTTTATGAAAGATTATAAATTGACATAACTTAACATGTAATAAGCCATGTAACAAAACGGGGAAACACCAATATTACAGTGAGTAGTAAGAGCTGCCGTGAGCCCCTCCCACTTCTGCAACAGGCTGCAGTACAGTAGAGAGGAGATCCATTCTCTTCCGTTTGTACATTGTAACGGAATAACTGACGATATTCATGCATTAAAAACATGTTTAAACTAATATTGCCATGTTATGTGACAAACAAAAATGAAACCCGCCTTTACGGGCTCCTATGAAATGCATTCATTTTTTAAGTGATTTAGCACTCCTCAGAATCTTGGACTTTAATGTCAGTTTCTGTCTTGGTGAAATAATGGAGCTGATAATGACTCATTAGAAATATTTTGCCTACTTTCTTTGCCTTAATGTTGACTGGTAATGCAAAGATGCCTCACCAAATGTCTCAGGCCACACAGTAACCATCACCACATAACATTGTTTGTTGGAGGTTTGCTCTACTCCTGCATGGGGGCGGAGTGAGC